TAACTATTTACAGAGTAAATTTACCATCATACACCCACAAAATTATAAAATGTCGCCGTTACGTGGTGTTACGCTCGCAGGATTGGCAAAAAAGCACCCCAAAAATGGCGGCGTGAGAAAGGCAAATTCTGCAAGCCACTAAATCCATCCAGCACTACCTACGTAGGTCAGTGATCACGCGATTATGACGCATGCCAATGGCCTGCATGCCTTCCCACACCGGATGTTGTATTTATAATATAGCAACAAAATTTTCGTTTTGTAACAAGGAACCTTTCACGATATATCGCTAGCTTATTTGTGTGAAATTTAGTAAACGTCGAGTAAAAGCGCAAGAATGAGTAGTTCGTCTTTATGTGTTAACTGTTCAATGCAATTTACGTTGTTCAAGCGAAAGGTATTTTTAAATTTTTTCCTGAATGATGTAACATATTCTCGAGCATATTTGTGTGTAGTACTGTACGTTATATAGTTATAAGTATTGAATAGTAGGTACCGGCAAATCCAAGTATATATATTTAGAATATTAAAATTGTTTGATTCTTTAGAGTGGATATTTATAATTTGATAAAATCAGGTGTTATATTCACAGATGGCTTATACCAGTGACCTCCATAATATATGTATATATCTGGAGTGAGAATTCCACGAAGCTGGCAAAGCATCAGAGGCGAAGCATGTGCCAAACAGCACCAAATAAAAGCGGATGCCAGACAGCACCTCCACTAATTTTTCAGGGAATGGACGATACCAGTTTTTCAAATCTGATACGATACCTAATACAATACTACACATTTTGGTTGACACCGATGACACAGAATACTACACAGAAGTCCATCTCCATTGTTTTTAGCGTAAGCTCTATTCGTCATGATTCGTCACTCAGCAAGTACCGTAAACAGAAGCAGTCCCCCTCCTGGAAAGACTAAAAATGGCGTATGTCCAGGGGGGTGATTGCTTCTGTTTACGGTACTTGCTGAGTGACGAATCATGACGAATAGAGCTTACGCTAAAAACAATGGAGATGGACTTCTGTGTAGTATTCTGTGCCGATGATGTCACATTGATCAATCGACCATTTGCGTAATAGACTAAATTTTGATCTAGACAAAAATTTTATCACAGCTTGAAAGAGCATCACAAAATTAGTAATATTCCAAAGTTTCATTGCGAAATGTTGTAAAATGCGGATATTTTCAGTCATTTTAGATTACAAACGGGAAATTGACAGCCCCAAAAATTTTTGTCTAGACTTGTTCAGATCAAAATTTAGTATATTATGCAAATGGTCAATTTGATGTCACATTGATCAATTTGATGATGTCATCAAGTAAAAGTGATCATGAACTAGTCTATCTTTATTCATAACTCATGGCTTCTGTCTTTTATAAATACAATTGTGACCACGAAGGTGAAAGTTCACATAGCCTTATTATTTTTACAAATTTTGCATACAGTTCATAAAGCACCCTACATTACTGTGATTTTTATAAATGCAGACCAAACATATCACATCAAAATTACTGTGTTGCAAATATCAAAAGTGTCGATACTTCTAGTATCAGTATTTGGTATCGTATCATGCCCATTCCTATTAGTGCTGTGCGCCGGAGTTGCCGGAGTTCTGCCGGAGCAACGGCGGTTTTTCCGACACCAGAGCAGAATTTTGTATGCCGGAGCCAGAGTTACGATTCCCGGCTCCGGCAAAATGACAAGAAAACAATATGAAATGAGACAAATGTCAAACGATTGTTAGTTACTGCAAACTGCCAATTGCTGTTAATGAATTCATCATAGACTCAAACTGCCACAGGAACAGCGTCGAAAAGCTGTAATACGATCGCAACTTACAAACGTCATGCTTTCATGAAGCCATCTGACTTAGTGCTACATACTGTAGTCTGTGTATTCATGCCTTGTAGATGACGAAAAAGTACAAAACAAATAAATATCAACCTTTTGAAAATGGCAGAGTACTTTGTTTGTGTGCGAACAATTCCGCTGTGGAGTCTGAGAGTGTTAGCGTCATGCCTCGTGTCAAAGATTTTTCGAGGCTGGTTTAGTATTTTCACTGTTTTGTTTCCTGAGTTATGTTATCTGATAATTAGGAAGCGCGAAAAGGGTTATTCATAATAATAATAATAAATGTTCTCTGATCGTAAAACATTTATTTAATATTTTGATGTGGCCGGAGCCGGAGCTCAGAGCTGTAATTCGGCTGGAGCCAGAGATGAAAAACCGGAGTTTGCACAGCACTAATTCCTATATTTCTGTTCTTTCTTTAGAATCGTTGTTCAGCATGTAGATTGTCATACTGTTCAAGCTGCTTCAAAAAAGGAGAAACCCTTCCTCATAGAAATGTCAAACACTGCCTGAAATGTCACGCTCTGTCGTCACAACCTTTGGTAAGATCTGAGCTTATGTTACTGTCAATCAAGGAACTAAAGGCATTTTTGGAACAGAAAAACGTATCTTCAACAGGCTGTAAGGAAAAGGGTGATTTAGTCGATGTGATTATCAGTTATCAAACTAGACCCCAAGTAGAGGCACCTCATGTTAACGAACCTCATGTTAATGAACTTCGTACTGATGAACCTCATGCTAGCACACAGCCATCGGCAAGTGGTAGCTCGAGTCAAACTCAGCGGCAATCAAATACCCGGAATCCGTCACAAGGAATGAACGATTTCTTTGGCGGATTACAAATCAATCCCGAAATTCATAATTTTGTCCAAAGTATGTTTCAGTTGGATGAGACTGGATTTAGGGGATTACGGCCACCAAGTCTGGACGAGATGAATAATAGTCAATCTAGTCAACAAATGAGCTACGGCAGTCCTAGTTATCAAGTAAGAATGCAGGATCAGGATGACTTTACACCTTCATGTGTTTGTCCAACACAGGTTTGTAACAGATTTACACTACCATAACTTGAGATGAAAGGCCTTCGCTCAACACATCAAACTTCTGCCTGTATTTTCAGGCAGTTGTATTCAAGGGTGGGTAGTAGCGAAGTAGTTGTAGTAGCGAACTACAATTTTCAAGTAGCCAGTAGTTTTTGTAGCTATAGTTATATTTGCCTAAAAGTAGCCAAGTAGTTGATTACTTTTCAAACAGAGAATCGCTATTCGCTACTTTTTAAAATTGTTAGTAACTTGATAGAATAGCATGATATTGAGACACGGTTTGCTTAAAATCAATACTCAATTATTTTGCACTCTTGAACACTGTAGTGCTTACAAACATGTTGCTTTGTGTTTATTGTTGCTACTTGTAAGTCAATTTGTTATAGGTTACATTTCAGCCTAGTTAGTAGATGCTCCAAATACAGTAAAACTAAAAATATAGCGTAGCGAAATAATTTTTTAAGCAGTAATTGTAGTCAGTAGCAAACTACCTTTTGTTCAAAAGTACCGTAGTTGTAGCTGACTACACATTTTTGAAGTAGCTGTAGTTATAGCAAACTACAAAAATTTTAATAAAAAAAGAACTTATAACAAAAATTTTGTAGTCAACCCACCCTTGGTCGTATTCCTATCAATCCACAATTTTATTGGCATTACCTACACTGGCACAGACTGTTCACAATTTACATGCTTTTGCTTTGAGTTGAACTGTGTAAATTAAGCAAACAATTCACCTATGTCAATGTAGGTGAGTTATGTTGATTTACACAGTGCAACTCAAGTTATAAGCGGGTTTTAGGAAAAAGTTTTGTGGAGTAAATCGGGCTCGACAAAATCAAAATACAACGCATTCCCTGACAGTTTAGTTTACAGCAGTTTCACGAGATACGCGACCACCTCAAGCAAAAAGTTTGAGAGCATATTTGTTTTTGACATTTAGAGGTGGTCACTAATTCAAAATCAGAAACGCCACAGATTTACATTGAGGCTATTTATAGAATAAATAAGTTGTTAAAAATATATTTTTATTCGATTTTGTCAAATAATTGCCAGAATATTGTCTTCCATTGAGAAATAAAATTCAATTACCTTTACCTGTGCACTTTGAGACACTCTGTGTCTTATGCCTGGGGATATTAAAATCACATCCAACTAACACATAAAGATAAGTACACCTTGTAGTAGAGATAAATGAACTTTATTTCTCAATTTAAGACAATATTCTAGCAAGGAATCGAATAAATACATATTTTTAAGGATTTATTATTTTATAGACGCAACGGGAGTCTGTTGACGTTTCTGATTTTCAATTACAGTAGTGACCGCCCTTAAATGTCAAAACCAACTATTGCTCTCAAACTTTTTGCTCGAGGTGGTCACATATCTCGTGAAACTGCTGTAATATATAGGATTTAATATAATAGGATTTGTCACAAAATTACATTACAATAATAATAATGCATAAGTGACAGGAGAAGGAAACAGGATAAAATCCAAATTGATACCATCTCCCTTGTGTGCAGATTAATAAGTATAGAAATATCACCATTTAACTCCAGCCCCCACATGTAATTATTGTTTTTTTTCTATTAGGTTGAAGCTAGATCTAAAATATCTTTGCAAAGTTTGAGAGATGAAAGTGATATCAGAAAGTTGTCAGCAAAAGAATTAAAAGTTTTATTAGATGATAATTTTGTTGATTACAAAGGCTGTGTTGAAAAAGAAGAACTCATTCAACGTCTTTTGATGCTCTGGAAATCTAAGAAACTTCACCAAACTTGTCAGTTGAGTTGGTACTATCCTTGCATGATCTAATGACATGTTAAACTCTTTGTATTATAATTTTAACAACATAAGATCACTTTTTTATCATCTCATATCCCTTCCACACCCAACAAAATTGAACTAAAATATTTCGCAGGGAACATTGCTTCCCAAATTATGAATAATTTATCAGCTTATACCATTAATTAAACACGAACTTGTGATTACCTCTTGCCACTAACACTACAACGTAATCATAATTTTGGCATTAACTTTACAACTTTGTACCGGTATACATAAACAAATAGATATTAAGGGTACATTGCAGCTCAATCGGTTAACTAGAGACATTGTCAGATTTTTTGGTTAACCC